AGGCTCAAGGTGGAATGAAAGCAATTTAAAAACAGAAAAGTTAAGTGACAGAAATCAAGACTGATGGGCAGGAGGCAGCTTGGGTCAGACCTCAGCAGTAGAAAAAAGGGCCTGCCCTTTACAGTCACGTTTACTTAGAGGCAGCAACATGCCACATAGAAAAGGGGTGCATCAACTCATTACACAGGGGAAACGAGATCCATTAATTGGAAAATTTTGCAAGCAAACCACTTGAGGGAGGAGTAAAAGTAAGTGGCTGAATCCACACAGGACCTAGGTCTGCATAGCCAGCATGTTTGGAGCATTTAAAATCCCGTTTTTTATATGTTTCTATAAGTATCTTCACCACAGTTGGCCCTCTATATGACTGAGAAAAGGGGTTTCTTTAAAATCCAGTTTATATTTATAGTATATATCTATTTACAGGAAAGTGCTAGTCTCAGGAGAATATATAGACTATACATTTTAGTTTCATGTAGTAATAATGCTTATTTAGCTACAGAACTGTTGGATCCTAGTAGCAACCCACTGCAAAACAGAACCTGCAAACCTGTCCTCAGGCTGACCTCCTGTGAGTGACATATGTGTGCACAGGTAACACAACACATACAGGGGATGTTATTTGCCATAGCACAACAAACATAAGTCTGCTGACAGCACCAGATGCAGGGTCAAACAAATGACAATGGTGTGTGTTATGCTGTCGCATTGCGCACTGCACAGTAGCACCCAATCATTGACACAAACTGTTCAATGTTGCTATTCAACGAGGAAGCAGGATTGCCTAGTTGAACTGCAGCCTTGATTCACTGCTTTCCCAGCTATTCTTACAGGTAGAAACAATTTCTATTCTTACACTGATACTCAGTCTCACATGCACGTAAGTCCATCAATCCATTCACACAGATGTGTGTGTATATGTATGTATAAACACACACATATACATACATAAATATATATATACACACGCAAACACTAGATCTTTCTATCCTCACAGGCAGATATGCACTTGCCCTCCCATATCTCCCTGTTTTTCCTCACATGTTTTGTCGAACTAGCCATTCAGACTCACGCATCATTGTCCATGCACTCTCACAGACAGATATGCAACCATTCACACACATCATCTATCTATCCATCCATCTATCCAGTGTTTTTAACTGCTTTCTTTCACTGGTGTTTCAGGAAGTATGCTCAAGGGGTTACCTAGGAGACACACAACTTTGCGTCATCGATTTCCCAAACAAGTCAATATCAAAAGAATGGACCACGACTGGTGGCATTGTATTGTCAAAGGCTTTCATGGCCGGAATAACTGGGTTGTTGTGAGTTTTCCAGGCTGTATGGCCCTGTTCCAGAAGCATTCTCTCCTGACATTTCACCTACATCTATGGCAGACATCCTCAGACCTCACAACCTCTGAGGATGACTGCCACAGAATGCTTCCAGAACATGGCCATACAGCCCGGGAAACTTACAGCAACCCACTGGTGACGTTTTTGCTGTCTCAAATATATGATTAAGGACAGGCAGTACTAATTGTGCCCTGCCCCCATTGTTAACCAAATTTTTAAAATGATAGGGAAAAAAGACTTTCAAACTGCTAACTTTGATTTAAATAACATGAATATGTAATACAGCAATATTGGCTCATCTTGCTCAAATACAAAATGCTAATATATTTTCAGTAATCTTGTGAATGTTATTTTACAGATATATATATAGAGAGAGAGAGAGTTTGAAGGTTCTGAAATCAATTCTAAATTTAAATCTGTCAAAAGTTTCAATCTCGTCATCTCACCTCGTGTGCCTTTTCTTCTGTAAATGTCGTCCCCAATTCCTTCAGCTCAAATGCTAATATACAGAGTTGCCAAGCCGACAACTATAGTTATCTCTTTATCTCTTTTGCCACATTGTCAAATATATGTGTTTTTCTTAAAACTCAGCTTTGAGAAACTGCTTTCACTACTTATCACTGACAACCCTAAGAGCCAATTATCCAAGAAGTTTTTGGTTGTACAATGAAGAGAAAGAAGTGTTCCTTCACAGACTGGAAATCTTTATGCTATTTCACAGAGTTCAAAGCACAGATCCTCTGCATCAGTATTTTTATTTCTTTATTTCTATGGTGCATCAATTATTTTACCAAAATCTTGTAGGCCTTAAGTACATCTTCAGTGGGTTTTTGTTTGTTCACACGATAAATATCAAACAGAAACCCAAGTAGGGAATTACATTCTTTGGGATCTCTCTTCAGCTGAGAAGTCTTGCTATAAGACAGCACAGCAGAAATTTGCTTTGAATTTCCATTTTGGATCTTGTAATGACTCTTGCTGGTCTTCCAGGATCTGTCCAAGTTGTGTTGTCGTATGCTACCAAGTCATTTTCAATTCATGAGAACCCAAACGCAAGTCTATCACAGGATTTTCTTGGCCCAATTTGTGCCAATTTGTTTTCTCTGAGGCTGAGAGAGCATGACTTACCAAGCGACTGAGTGGGACGTTGAACCTGGTCTCCAGAGCCATATGTTCAAAAGTCAAAATGTCAAAAACCTGAGGGGGGAAAAGGGGGTCCTGAGGCCAGGAATTGTGGAAGTTGAAGTCCAAAACACCTGGAGGGCCCAAGTTGGCCCATGCTTGGTGTAGATACATCCCTGTTGATTGAATGGGAACCCGGCATCATCAACATCCACGTCCATTACTCATCGAATTGGGCCCTCAGGTTTCACTGGTGCCATAAAACATATTGTTGAATACTTTCATGGCCAGAATAACTTGGTTGTTGTAGGTTTTCCGGGCTGTATGGCCACGTTCTAGGAGCATTCTCTCCTGACGTTTTGCCCACATCTATGGCAGGCATCTTCAGAGGTTGTGAAATCTATTGGAAACTAGGAGAATTAGGTTTATATATCTGTAGAAAGTCCAGGGTGGGGGAAATAACTCTTGTCTGTTGGAGGCAGGTGTGAATGTTTCAATTGGCCACCCTGATTAGCATTTGATTTATTTATCGTGTCATGAGCGAACCAAAACAGTTGTATTGCATTAAAAGCAAGCAAACAAACAAAAAAAAACAGTTTGGAGACTTAGTATTCTATTAAATGTCCTTTGACCAGAAGCTGGCCACTTGGAGTGCCTCTGGTGTTGCTGCAAGAAGGTCCTCCATTGTGCATGTGGCAGGGATCAGGTTGCATTGCAGCAAGTGGTCTGTAGTTTGCTCTTCTCCACGCTCTGCATCTCATGGTGCCAGAGCACAGTCTGTTCAGCACCTTCCAAGTCACCCAGTTTTCTGTGTGCCCAGGAGGGAGTCTCTCATTTAGTATCAGCCATTGATTGAGATTCTTGGTTTGAGCCTGTCACTTTTGGACTCTTGCTTGCTGAGGTGCCCCAGTGAATGCCTCTGTAGATCTTAGGAAACTATTTCTTTATTTAAGTCGTTGGCTGATACCCAAACAGGGGTGGGCCGGAGATGTCACTGCCTTGGTCCTTTCACTATTGGTTGCTACTCCTCAGTGCAATACCGAGGTGGTGTCAGGTGGTGCGATACCGGCTAAACAGTGTAATTTCTTCAGTGGTGTAGGGCGCAGACACCCTGTGATAATGCGGCATGTCTCATTAAGAGCTACATCCACTGTTTTAGCGTGGGGAACATAAGAGAAGCCTCCCCGCAGGACTGCAAGACATTCGGGTGTCCCCTGGGCAACATATGCGTAGACCGCTGATTCCCTCACTCCAGAAGCATTTGATGGCCTGACCATTTTTTAGGTGTCCCTTGTTACTGCCTGGGGGAATTCTTTGTTGAGAGGTGATTAGCTGTTCCTGATTATTTCTTCTCTGGATTTCCCATGTTTGAGTTTTGTTCTTTATTTACTGTTATAATGTTAGAGGGGTTTTTTTAAATACTGGAGCCAAATTTTGTTCATTTTTATGGTTTCTTCCTTTCTGTTGAAATTGTCCACATGCTTGTGGATTTCAATGGCTTCTCTGTGTAGCCTGGCATGATGGTTATTAGAGTGATCCAGCATTTCTGTGTTCTCAAATAATATGCTATGTCCCGGTTGGTTCATCAGGTACTCTGCTATGGCTGACTTCTCTGGTTGAGTTAGCCTGCATTGCCTTTCATGTTCCTTGATTCGTGTTTGGGCCTTGCTGCGTTTGCGGGTCCCTGTGTAGACTTGTCCACAGCTGCACGGTATACGGTAGACTTCTGCAGAGGTGAGAGGATCCCTCTTGCCATAAAACACTCCGAGCTACTGTTCACCATCTTCACAATGGTTCGGCAATAATCGCGATGGGCCCGCTTTAACCCGTGTGTTGACCATTCCTCCTTCACGTTCCTCACTCTCCTTCCCGAACTCTAGTCCTCCGAGTTCGAGGAGTTTGTTCTTTTGGACTACAACTCCCAGAATCCTCAGCCGCCTCGGACAGCGAGGAGGCATTCTGGGAGCTGAAGTCCAAAACAAGACCGGAGTGGGAGAAGCACAACCTCTCAGAGCGAGCTTCAAGTCCTTTCCCAAAGCGCCCACCCTTTTGACAGGAAGTAGCCTCTCGCGGAGGACGGGCAGCTGTCTCGGCCAATGGGCTGGAGGAGCGGCGCGGCGGCTGCCAGTAGGCGATCGAGGGCGGGACTTCCGCTTGGAATGGAGGAGGCGGAGCGGGCAGGTTTTGTGTGCGAGTGCGAGGGAAGCGGAGTGAGGCGCGGAGGGTCCCGCGGGCGAGAAGGGGAGCGGGCGTCCTTTCTCCCGCCCGGGCCTGGCCGGCTCTTCCTCCTCTTCGGGCCGGGGAGAGGCCTCCTCCCGAGGGGCCGGCAGCCGGGCACAGGCGCGTACCGGGCTGCCGGCTCCTGAGGCGCGGGGGGAACGGGGAGCCCTGCCGACCGGTGCCTCAGGGCCCTGCCTGGCTGCCTCTCAAGGGGCTTGAAGGCAGGGAGAAAGCCAGGCTTCCCTCAGAACGGAAAGGGGCGGGATTAAGAAGGCGAAGGCTTGGGGGGGGGGGGGGGGGGGGGGGGGGGGGGGGTTCCTCCTGAGGATGAAAGTTTGGCTTCGGAGATGTAGGCCACCCCCGCGCCCCCTCGGAATGGTTCGCCCCACCTCGCCCTAAGGCCGATTGGAGGCGGGAGGGGGGCCGCTTGCGGGAAGAGCCGTCGAACGTCCGCTTGGAGTTGGTTCTCAAGGCATTCTGTCCGTCCTGGGGAGCGGGGAGGGGGGAGTCCGGTTGGCGGAAGAGCCCTTAAAGGGAAACACTCCTCCAAGTTGGTGTGGGGCGTACAGGTGCGGCCGGATCTCATTACTCGTGGTCCCCATTTTCGGCCGAAGGGGCTCGGCGGCCTCTTTGGCCCTCTTTCGGCTGGGCTGGAGGGAGCGGGGCTGCGATGAATGGTTTCAGCACGGAGGAAGACAGCCGGGATGGGCCCCCCAGCGGCCCCTTCTACGGTCAGAGCTGCTGCCTCTTCGACGACGGGGACCGGTGCCTCCGCCCCGCCGGCAACGCCTCCTTCAGCAAGAGGATCCAGAAGAGCATCTCCCAGAAGAAGCTCAAGCTCGACATCGACAAAAGTGTGAGTTGGGGGGACACGCAGCGGGGAGGCGCAGGCCGAGGCCTCGTCGCCTGCTTCCAGGGAATGAGTCGCCTTTTTTGGTACTGAAGGTTGGCCCACCCACCCCAGCCCCGTGGCACTTTGGCTGGCCCGGCTCTGCACTATTTATTAGCCTTCCTCTTCTGGGAGTAGGTGGCGCAATGGGTTAAATCCTTGTGCCGGCAGGACTGCTGACCTAAAGGTCGGAGGTTTGAATCCGAGGAGTGGGGTGAGCTCCCGTCTGTCAGCTCCAGCTTCTCATGCGGGGATGTGAGAGAAGCCTCCCACAGGATGGTAAAACATCCGACCCAGGGACATGAGAGAAGCCTCCCACAGGATGGTAAATCATTCCTGCCGGGGAGCAAGGTGAGATCCCATCTGTCAGCTCCAGCTTCCCATGCAGGGACACGAGAGAAGCCTCCCACAAGATGGCAAAACATCCGGGCTGGGGAGCAGGGGTGAGATCCCGTCTGTGAGCTCCAGCTTCCCATGCGGGGACATGAGAAAAGCCACCCACAGGATGGTAAAACATCCGGGCAGGGAGTGGGGTGAAATCCCGTCTTGTCAGCTCCTGCTTCCCATGCGGGGACATGAAAGAAGCCACCCACAGGATGGTAAAAGAATCCGGGTGTCCCCTGGACAATGGGCTTGCAGACAGCCAATTCTCTCACACCAGAAACAACTTCAGTTTCTCAAGTCGCACCTGACAGGGAAAAAAGATCTCTTAGAATTAAGGAACCACTCTTCTATGAATCCTTGTTCTGAAGAGTTCTGGAGTTCTTTAGGGAATGTTGTTTCAAGAGGCTGCCATTCTTGGAGAGATAAGCATTGCTTCCTCTGCTGTTTCCTGGCAATAATTGACAGCTCTTTCATCAATCCAATGCTTGTCTTGGAGTGAAGATTTCCAAAGTTCTTTGGGAAGTGTTTCCATTTAAAAAGGCTGCCCTTGTTGGAGATCAGCGTTCAGTCAGCTCCATTCAGTCAGCTCTGGTCATATGTCAGCCATCTTAATTGACAGAGACAATGAATGCAGTGTGACACCACTTTAACTTTTATGGCTCAGTGCTAGGGAATCCTGGGACTAACTATTTAGTGAGGCCCCAGCACTCTTTGGCAGAGAAGGCAAAAGAGCCCTTGGAACTACAACTTCCTTAATTCCACAGCATTGAGCCATGACAGTTAAAGTGGTGACAAACTGCATTCAGCTTGTGCTATGAGTTGAAACATGAAACAGAATATGTTGCCTCGGGAGTTTTTTTGTGCGTGCTTGTAGTTTGTCAACACGAGATTGTACAGTAAACAAGTGTTTCTCTGTTTTATGAAGTAGTCTTTTTCAGTGATTTAAAAAAGTAAAAATATATTAGGGAAGTTAATTTGTTTAAATTACAGTAAAGCTACTTTTCAGTTTTATAAAGCAGAGTGATACCAGTTGCACAGAAACCGTAATACATGATGAGTTGGGAGAATGACATGTGATGGAGAAAGGATTGTTCTGGGTAGTCGAAATAAGGGAGGCTGCAACCAGTCCTGAGCTCTTAAGTTCACAGGTGAACGGTCCCATAAAGTTTCCTAAACATAGCACATAACACAGAGATATCAAAAATTCTATTTATTTATTTATTTACAATATTTATACCCTGTGCTTCTCACCCTTAGGGGCCTCAGAGCATATATAGGCAGCAATTTGATGCCAGCATGAACATACATCAAATAAAATAAAACATATACATTTAAACAATCATTAAAAACATATTAAAACCACTTATTTAAAATCACGCAATCTGATACTATAGTCTGAGGCCATTCCAATTGTTATTGTACCATTCTGTGTTTTCGTATTGCACTGTTACTGACCAAAAGCTTGGTCCCACAACCATGTATTTAGCTTTTTCCTGAAGGTCGGGAGAGAAGGGGCTGATCTGATCTCATTCAGGAGGGAGTTCTATAGTAGAGGGGCCACCACTGTAAATGCCCTGTCTCTTGTCCCCACCAAGCGTGTTTGCGAAGGAGGTGGGACCAAGAGCAGAGCCTCTCCAGACGATCTTAATCTCCTTGCTGGCTTATAGAGGGTGATATGTTCGAACAGGTAAACTGGGCCAGACGGTTTAGGTCTTTATATGCTAAAGCCAGCACTTTGAATTGTGCTCAGTAGCAGACTGGCAGCCAGTGAAGCTGGCACAACAGGGAAAGAGGGAAAATAATTGATTTTCAAATGTAAGACATGTGATTGCATATTAGTAACTGGTGCATATAGTACTGATAAATGTGCATTGGTAGAGTTGAGACTTGAAACAGTTCATTTAGAAACTGTCAAATCAGAAATCTCATGCTATAATTAGACAATCTTTTAAATGTTGGAAACTGCAAACATATTTATTTCTTGGCAAGCCCCATGCAGATTTAAGCACTGTCAGCCAATTAGTATTAACATTAAGCGACATCTGCCACATCTGGTACCTAAACTGGAGCATTATTGCTTGTGGCACTAGGGAATTGGTGGTATTCAGCATTTGGGTAGATTACTATTGCTCTTTATAGCCCTCTGCCGTGTAAGTCTGACTTCACTCAGAACTTTAAAACTATAAATTGGGAGTGATAGAAAATAATGGTTTCTCTATCCCTTTGACTGTACTTCAGTTATTCTTTTCCAGATATAGATCAGTGTTGCAGTAAAAAGTTCTCTGCAGGCAAGCAGCATGCCACCAAGACTACACAAGGTCTCACATAAAATACATAGGAAGGGCCTGATTATTTTATTTTTATTTACCTGTCTGGCTAATCTAGCTGTCTCTCAATTAAAAATACATTCCTTTTTATAGGGTAGTGTTAGTAGCACCTCAGGATTGCATTGTTCTTTATCTCTTCCACCACATATGAAATTAGATATAATTACATTTTTTCTACTGTATTAAATTATTTTTGTCCTAGGTGGATGTCACGTTAAATTATTTAACATCTTCTGGTGCACATGGTTCTTTCATTGGTAAAGGGGTTTACTGGAGTGCTCTCTTACTTTGGGCTAGAGATATGTATCACAAAACCAATTTTTTGCCCTTTAACATACATAAAACTGAATAAGCTCTCTGTTACGTTAGTGTGTTGGTTCTGTTCTTTGATGAAGTTGCTTAGCAGCTTAGAACTATTCTCTGCCCTGCCCAAAACAACTCAATCCTTTGTTCGTAAAAACTTTCCAGTTATCTGCTCATTTTATAATTCACCATACTCTTCTCTGCTGTACTGTGACCACAATACATGTTTTGATCCTTAGGTAAGACACTTGTATATATGTGATTTCCACAAGAACTTTATTCAGAGTGTTCGAAACAAAAGGAAAAGGAAGACAAGTGATGATGGAGGAGACTCTCCAGAGCATGACATAGATGTCCCAGAGGTATGTAGCATAATGAAATTCAAAGAGGATTTGTTTATTTTCTTGATTACCTTTGTTTTTAGTTCTAAAGACAACACAGTACATATCCTGCCTAGTGTTGTATCTTGTAGAATCTTTTCAGCATTAGTGGCTTTAGGGTGCTTCACTTTTACTTTTTTTTTTAAAGATCACTCTTTCCTAGTATTTTACAAAAGGCCCACTGCTTGCTTCATATAATTAAAATCTTTTCTGCCTGAAGTGGGAAGATCAGTCATACATGAATGATATTAGGGAGGAGCAGAGATCCTACAGATCTACAGATCTCCTGCTACATCCCAAGCCCTGCCGGATTGTACCATCCAGGACAGAAAGTGCAAGCATCGTTTCATCACGTTATTATTGACGCCCCGAGTCACCTTCGGGCTGATATGGGCAGGATAGAAATAATGTAAATAAATAAATAAATCAGTGGATATTTTGAACCACAACTATGTCTCCGTCCTGCCAAACAGAATTGGGTACCATTGAAGTGCCAGTTCCAGCCCATCTGGAGAATGGAGTAGCTTGATTAAAATTGCTTTCCAACTTGTTCTTCTCACTCTCTGAAGAATGAAAAATAAACAGCATTAAATTGTTTCCTGTAGGAAGTTGATTGGATCCAAATGTATATTTCCATTTTTGCTCATGATTCAGATTATGAGTTGAACACATGATGGCAATGCCTTAAAAAATAAAGGAAACCCTCCCAAGTTCCTAGTTACCTGTATTCCATCTATCATTGTTGAGCTGGTGGGAGTCATACGTTACTCTTGAGATGGAACAAGGCATGTTTCTTGTATGCTGATTCTTAGGGTGGATATGTATTTTGAAGATTACTGTTCCTGGTTCATTCTTTTTCCTTATTAATGTCATTTCTTTTGCAGGTTGACTTGTTTCAACTTCAGGTAAATACTCTCCGGCGTTACAAAAGGCATTACAAGTTGCAGACAAGGCCTGGCCTCAATAAAGCTCAACTAGCAGAAGTAAGTTTCTTAAGAGATATGTAGAATATGTTTTCTTACTTCAGCAGGAAAATATGTTTATATGTTGCACTAATGTTTACTTAGATTGGGTTGGAAGGGGCCTCCTGACCATTGAGTCCAGCCTCCTGCTCAATGAAGGATCTCCCGCTAAAATATTTCAGCAGATAGCTGTCCAGGCTCTTTTTGAAGACATCCAGAGATGATCCTACAATTTCTCTAAGAATTACAAAACTGCTTATTGTCAAGAAGTTCCATCTAATGTTCAGTTGAAATCTAACCTCTTGAAACTTCAAGCCATTAAGCCTGCCCATCTCTCTTTGAGAGCCTTTCAAGGCAGGTATCCCCAAACTGCGGCCCTCCAGCTGTTTGGGCCTTCAACTCCCAGAATTCCTGACAATTGAACAAGCTTGTTAGGGCTTTTGGCAGTTGGAGACCCAAACAGCTGGAGGGCTGCAGTTTGAGGATACCTGCCTTAAGGTAGTTAAAGAAAGTGATTATGTGATTTTTGAACTGTAGTTCATGCTCTTGAAGCATGAAAAATTATGTGTACATGTGTGTATATGTGTGTGTGTGTGTGTGTGTGTGTGTATACACACACAGACAGATAGGTTCTTCTTGTTGGTCTTATAAGAGATAATAAAGGATTTTGATTAATATTACTTGAAATACTCAAATGAAGAAGATTTTCTTGCATTCTCACTATGCCCTGAATCCTGCAAGTCAGCTATGGGAAAGCCATAGAGTGTATATCCCCACGGGGAGATAAATGTTTTATTTATTTATTATTATTATTATTATTATTATTATTATTATTATTATTATTATTTGAAACACAACAAGATTGGTACACAGCACACAAGATTACTATGCTGGCTGTTGTATTGGATCACACGTCAAACACTTCCCAAGTGTCTTGGACTATGTGATATATCCACAAATAATGTGTGCAAATCCAAGTAGAGTGGCCTTTTACAGCTGACAGATAGTAATTTTGTCAGTGCCTATTTAAGTGCAGGCCAAGGTCTTTAGGCACTGCACACAATGTGCCGATCACCACTGGGCCCACCTTGACTAGCTTATGCCATAGTGTTTGCAGTTCGATCTTTAAATCCTCGTATTGTTGAAGGATTTCATGGCTGGAATCACTGGGTTGTTGTAGGTTTTTTCGGGCCATATGGCCATGTTCTAAAGGCATTTTCTCCTGACGCTTCGCCTGCATCTATGGCAAGCATCCTGCAATCCTCGTATCGTGTCAGCTATTCCCATTGTTTCTCTTTAATCCTGCTGTCGCCTCGGATTGCAACATTGATGGTCCATACTTTGTTTTTTAACATGATGGTGAGGTCAGTAATATTGTGCTCCAAAACTCTGTCAGTCTGAATTCAGAAGTCCCAGAGTAGTTTGACGTGTTCATATTATTATTATTATTATTATTATTATTATTAATTATGGCTTAATTATTCAGGGCTTCTTTATGTGTGTTTTTCCCTTTCAGACTGTAAGCCGTCATTTCAGGAATATCCCAGTGAATGAGAAAGAGACCCTTGCTTATTTCATCTACATGGTAAAGAGTAACAAGAGTCGATTGGATCATAAGTCAGAAAGCAGCAAACTGGAATAAAAATTAAATAAATTCTGAACATGAGCAAGTGTGATATTAAAGGTGCATTATAAATATTTTTAATCTGTTAAAGGACTTTTTTTGTAATATAAAGTGTACAATAGAAAGTAATATAGAAAACTTTGGCTCACAGTGCTAGAGTATACAATTCCGGATGGTGTGAGATGACTTCTGTGCTTTCAAATCCTAATATTTTACTGAGGGATAGAGTCCACAAAAAATCAAGTTATTAAAGACAAAAACTGTATAGAGGATTGAAGTAAGCCTTTTATGATATGTCACATATGAAATGAATTCAGAATTATAACATTGGATCATATTGTGTCCAGAGAATATTTATGGCACAGATCAGGCATAGCACTGGATGACTGGTACAAAAAAATATTAATTTGTAGCTCACTGCTTGTGCACAATCTGGGATTACTTGTCTCACGTTTTCATGGGTGCTAGTCTCTTGGTGGAGCCTTTGTGTCTTTTGGACAGTGGAGAGTTTTCATAGAGGAATAAGCCTCATTTAACTTCTAAACTCTTCTAGAACCTCTGATTCATACATTCATGAGTTTCATTGATGAATACTTAAGTTCTTCAGAATATTTTGTAATGGTGAGCTGCTACAATTTTGACATGCAATCTGTTGTTTTCCTAGAGTTTGATATATACTTTTTGATGTGTACTCACCATGACACTAAAAATGGCTTCATATAAGTTCCTGTGTGCCTTGATTCAGAGATGAAATACTAGATTAAGTCTGGTGTTATGTGGAAGCCATTTGATAGTAGGTTCAACCAGATTGTGATGAAGTATGTATCCATTAATCAGACACTTGACATCAATGGCCCATTTTATTTTCTGAGATATGAGTGCATGATATGGTCTGCTGTGCATATGCATACAGCACCTCCATGCTTTTCAGTGTAGGAGATACTGCATTGTGGTCTAATGATGGCCCACCAGTTTGTGGCCTACCAAGTTCGACCTTTCATGTGGTGCTGCCCAGTTTTTGTAGTCCCGGGTGGACATGGATGGTAGGTTTTTGATCTTTTTTGCAAGCTGTTAAAAACAGACTAAATTTACTCAGGCCCAGCCTAAAATAAAACTACTCAAACAACAGAATTGTGATAATGCGTATTTGTAGATCCTGTTGTATTTTATTCACAGTGAATATTAAAATGAATAGCACCATCACAGTCCTTAATGTTGCTTTGAAAAATTGTAGTCTAAGTACCACTGAAATAAACAAAAGTAAAAGCTGTCTGGTGTCGTATGAGATGCTGAGATGCCTGCTCCAAAGGTGATTTCTCAAATGTTATTCTCCAGGATTATGTTATGCTTTGGTGGATTACTCTGTGGGAAGATCCCGCTTAAGTAAATACTGTGTGTATTTGTTATCTGAGGCTATAAGGATACACTGAAACCTCTTCACTTATTTTTATTTCTGACAAACAGTGTGAAAACCTACAGTCTGTCTCAGAGATGATGAATTTTGTAACAGTTTATTTTTCTGGCAAACATGTTCAAGAAACATTGGCTAGTGCATACTATTCCAGTAAATTGGATTATACTTTTAAGGGTGGATATTTTCGGCAGGATATGTGCAGCTATTCCATCATAGGATATATACATGTAATGCATCTTATTTAAATACTTGTATGACAATGTAACTAGAAATAATGCTAGAATTCTTCAGATTGTTACTTAGCATTTTAAAATTTGACAACTATTACACTTCCTTCTTTATTGAGTAAATAGATTGAACTAGCTATAAATTTAGTTAATTTATCTTTATAGGTGAACCAGTCTTTTGATTATTTGTGGCTTCATAAGATTCATCTTGTGGAGCTTGATGCCCATGGAAAATTTCTCTTAAGATTAGCACCTTATGCCACATGTCTAGACCAAAAACATAAGCTTTAGAGTTTTGGGGCTTATTTTGGCACAGAACTGCAGAGTTTCCAAATGAATGTACAAAAATATTAACAGCTCATCTGCAGAAAAATGCAGAGGCAGGTTCTTTCTCTTAAGATCAGATCAAGACTCTTTCCCCCCCCCCCCCCAAAATGAATGAATTGGAGAAAATTGTTATAAGCAAATCAGTATTTTCAAAATGAAAGGGATCATAAATCTCACCATCAGATCTGAGGGATTGTAGATGTCATGTTTTGTGAATCTTGATGCCTTTTATAAACATCTGTATATGCCTTATACTCAGCTAAACCAACAAGTCTTGAGCCAATATCTTGGTAGCCAGGTTGGACCATTCTCATGGCTTATTATGCTAGAAACAGATCCTGTTAACAGCAATATCTATATTCAGGGAGAAGCCTGTGGTTCTTGAACATCTTGTTTTGAATCACCAAAAACACCATGATGCAGTTGTTTAATATTAATGGCAAACTATGCTGCATGCCATTTAAGGAAACTTTCTATTCCTTGTGGTTTTAATAAAACCTTCATCAGCATTTTTTGAGCTTCAAAGATATGAATCCTTAAGCAATGGCTAAAATTAGAATATAGTAGAACAGAGTCACATTGACAGAGTTCATTAAGACAAGCTGGTGGGTTGCATTTTACCTTAATTTTTGTCAAATATAAACTTTACATGGTGTGTAAGCTGTTCAACACCTCAGCCTCAGAGTGACTCTTTCCGCACTTAGGGCTGACAATATCTCTATTGAATGAAACCTCTCAAACCAAAAGTTGTGTTAAAGCCTTCAAACCCTTCTAAGAACCCACTTGCAAGAAGAAGGGCCATACATTGTTTTAATGGGCTTTGCATCAGAGCCGAAGATCTTACTGTGGCACATCTTCTATAATGAGTTTGACTTTGTCAAAGATGGTAGTCCTCAGTGTGTTAGTTGTTGTACTTGTAGTAGTAGCAGTAATAGCACAAGGATTTTTGTTCATCCCTTGAATTGAATGAATAACAGAACAAAGAGAAGGGAAAGGTGCAATGAGAATTACAGTAATGAAGTGACATGGTTATGACGACCCATCCGTCACCTTCCCCTGTTTACCTTCCAAATGTGTCTTTGCGGTGTAAATATTGCATATTAAACCTCTACATTAAATTTTAGACACTGCCTTGCAAGGCATGTCATAAATTAAGGTTCAGAAGGGACACACCTGATGGTCTTGCAGAACACTTGAGGCACAGCGCTGAATCTAACAAGATTTGTTTTTTCCTTCCCAGATTTCCCAGTAATATATTTCCTGATTAGGTGACCAAAATATCTTAAAGCTAAAATAGCAAATGGCAAGGACAGTTTTTCAGACTTACAAAATAGATTTAAAGAGCCATGAACAAGGTAGAGCCCAGAAATCTAGCTGTTGGTGACTTGTCTAAAAGAAAACTTTAAGAAATAGTATTTTAAATGTTATAATGAGTAGATTAGCTCAATGGGAGAAGGAAAGGAAACCCTTGCACTTTACCTTGTATTGATAAATCATAATGTAAAGTATGTTGAAATCCTTTGTTGTGGTTGGATTCTTTGTCTTTGAAGGTGAACCTGTGCTTGGTTCATTGGTGTCACTTCACCCTTAACGTGGGGGACTGACAAATCTTCAGAAAAGCATTTCAGCACTCTCAGAATTTAATCAAAGGCCCTTACAGCAATGGAGCAGAGTGTCACCAAAACCACATACAGTAGAGTCTCGCTTATCCAACATAAATGGTCCAGCAGAACACTGAATCAGTGAAAATGTTGGAGAATAAGGAGAGATTAAGGAAAAGACTATTAAATGTCAAATTACGTTATGATTTTACAAATTAAGCACCAAAACATCGTATTTTACAAGTCGACAGAAAAAGCAGTTTAATACATGGTAACATGTAGTAATTACTGTATTTACGAATTTAGCACCAAAACATCACAATGTATTGAAACAGCTGTGGATCCGGGCAGGAGGCAGACTGTATTGGATAATACAGAATGCTGGATGAGCGAAGGTTGGATAAGCGAGACTGTACTGTACTTTGTTTTGTTCCTAAATATCTACTTTTAAAAAATGTAATTAGTAATACCACAGGGTAAGCTCTGCTCTCCTATAAAACTTGCCCAGTCTCATTTATTATCAGTTACGTACTTGTAAATGTTTGTGGAGGGGAAGGGGCTTATGCCTTAAACTCAGATTTTCAATGAAATATATCGAATGAAATAATTTGGAAATAATTTTCAACATTTCCTCTCATCTTTCAAGCATAGACTTAGGGAGCTTTCCTCTTATGTTGCCTTCATCTCTCCTGTCTTGTCTTGCGGCACACTACAAAAAGATAAACTGACATGTTTTGATACCCATTTTGATTTGTGAAAGGCTTAGTGAGGGGAAAAAGAACAATTTCCTTTTGCCTTTATTCAGTCTAGTGAGTTTTTATGTGTTGTACTGATCTTTATGCCAAATGTTTTGGGTAAACTTGTATCTTTAATTGTGAATTTTAACTATGTAAACTAAAAGCAATGTAGTAATTTATAGTGGAATTATAGAGTTCTTTTCTCTGAGGTGTATAGTATATCCTTCCTTCCACTGTGTGTAACACTTAAAACTCTGTACTGTTGGATAAAGATGTAATTGCTTGAGATTCATTTCTAATAAATGATCTTTTAAGTAACCAGATAGACTCCTTCCTTCCTTCCTTCCTTCCTTCCTTCCTTCCTTCCTTCCTTCCTTCCTTCCTTCCTTCCTTCCTTCCCTCCCTCCCTCCCTCCCTCCCTCCCTCCTTCCTTCCTTCCTTCCTTCCTTCCTTCGTCCTTCCTTCCTTCCTTCCTTCCTTCCTTCCTTCCTTCCTTCCTTCCTTCCTTCCTTCGTCCTTCCTTCCTTCCTTCCTTCCTTCCTTCCTTCCTTCCTTCCTTCCTTCCTTCCTCATAATGCATTTTGTAATTTATACACAGCTTCCAAGTTGAATAAGGATAATAGAGCAAACAATATTAGCATGCACAATATGAATTATTTCCATTTGAGATGCTGTAATTCACTATGTATTGCCTTTATCTGTAATAAATTCTGAAATCATTTTATAATTATTTGACGAAACAGGCTGTTTCCCAGTATTCCAAACTACAAAGTGAATTATGCTCATTATAATGCTTGTCAATTGACTGCTAGATATCCGGGTTCAAGAGTAAGCAAATACCACAATAGCTATATGTTCAATAGTATGATATAGAGGGAAGAAGTGGGAACATTCATTGCACAGAGTAGTTCAGACATAATCTAGGAGGAATCTCTCATGAAATCACCTCATCTATCTCTAGCTGTAATTTCCTAGCATGGCTTGCACTTCCCTCTTCTGAACTGGTAATGAATTACCCAGAAGGTTTGTAATTCCTCACTGAAATCCCCTGTGGTGCCTGACAAGAGAATGCCAACCCAGTGATATGATGGGCATATAACAACTGTGCAGCTCACATGATGACACTGAGGTGATCACTTTCAGCCCAGTCAGACTTGCAGGACTGTGAGGTTAAAATTAAAGGAAGGAGCATAAGCAATTTATGTTGTCCTGAACATCTTGAAATGAAAGCAGGATACAATCACAAAATCACATGTTTGCTCTAATAGCATTTTGCTATAGAACATGGATACATTCCGGAATAAATCCATTTTACTATCTGTTCCTTCATTGTACTTTTAATTATTTTATTTATTTAAAGCATTTATATTCTGCCCTTCTAACCCCGAAGGGGACTCAGGGCAGATCACAACATATAAACGGCAAACATTCAATTGGCCATACACATACAAAAGCGTTAAAATCACGTATCTTGACGTTAAAATCCACTAGTTAAAACTGTCTCAACAAGCATATCGAATTTGGTTGGCATACTAAGGGTTGTATCACCTGAAGCCAAACTACAGCAGAAGGTATGGACCTAATGTTTCTTTATAGCTATCTTCATATAATAGTTCCAGTATCTCCGTTGCAAAAAAGTATAGAAGGTACTCAAATCTGCTCTTAAAAATGGACAGTGAAACACTTTGGACTTCTTCTTAGGTTTATAGTTTTCCAAGCCATGTCTGTTTTTCTTTGAGCCGTTTGTATTATGTAGATAATGAACCATTTTAACTATAACTTAAGCCATTGCCAAGAAAGAAGACATTGTAGAAGAACGCAGAATACAGACTAAATGGTATAAAATCTATACTTCCAAGGTCACAACATGTTATAGAATCTCGATATGCTGATGACAATGTCTGTGGCACTCAGAAGAAGACCTACAGGCCACTCTAAACCTTCGCAGAAGCATACGAGAAGCTTGGCCTGTCATTGAACATTGAGAAAACCAGAGTGCTCTTCAGCAGTCACCAGACAATCCCTCTCCAATGCCAGAAATACAGCTTAATGGTGTAACATTTCTACCTTGGCAGCCACCTCTACACAAAAGTCAGCTTTGACATTGAAATACAACACCGCCTGAGCTTAATGGTGTAACATTAGAAAATGTTGACCATTTCTACCTTGGCAGCCACCACTACACAAAAGTCAACATTGACATCGAAATACAACACTGCCTGAGCTCTGTGAGTGCAGCATTCTTCTGAACGAAGCAGAGCGTGTTTGAGGACCAGGACATCCGTAGGGATTCCAAGGTGCTTGTTTATAAAGCTATTGTACTCCCAACCCTGCTATACACCTGCAAAACATGGACTGTCTACAGATCTCATACGCAACTTCTGGAACAATTCCATCAGCGCTGCCTCCGAAAAATCCTGCAAATCTCTTGGAAAGGCAGGTGGACAAATGTCAATGTGCTGGAAGAAGCAAAGACCACCTGCACTGAAGCAATGCTCCTCTGCCATCAACTCCACTGGACTGGCCACGTTGTCTGAATGCCTGATCACTGTCTCCCAAAGCAGTTGCTCTTCTCCGAACTCAAGAATGGGAAACAGAATGTTGGTGGACAGGAAAAGAGATTTAAAGATGGGCTCAAAGCCAACCTCAAAAACTGGCATAGACACCGAGAACTGAGAAGCCCTAGCCTTTGAGCACTCTAACTGGAGGTCAACTGTGACCAGCAGTGCTGCAGAATTCGAAGAGGCATAAATGGAGGGCAAAAGGGAGAAACGTGCCAAGAGAAAGGCACGTCAAGTCAACCCAGACCAGGAACACCTTCCATCTGGAAACCAATGTCCTCACTGCAGAAGAACATGCGGATCAAGAATTGGGCTCCACAGCCACCTACAGACCCACCACCAGGACACTACATCTGGAAGACCATCACCCTCGAGCTACAATTGATTGCCAAAGTAAGTAAGTAAAAAGTACTGTTTTCATGTTTCATGTTAGCTATTTTGGCTGTATTTTGGATGGTGTAGTTGTCCACTTGGGTGCCTATTCTTCAGTTGTTCTTGAGAGAGAGACATGCCCTATAAAGCTTACAGAGAAAACAGGAAATGCATAAGGAAAGTGATATTTAATGAAAACATTAGTGGATTGGATTCGGCATCTCCTTTGCATGCAAGATCATTCCTGAGTAAATATCCAATGGGTACCTTCCCTTCTGTACCGGACTGTCCCTCAACCTTCTGGAGCAAACATGGGAGTATGGAGGAGGTAGGAAATGTACTTATCTTCCTCATTCCATCAGCAGAGGGTTTTCTAAGAATTAGGTCAGATTTTCCTTGTAGATTGAAAGAATCCTTCTTCCTCTGAGAAGCATATTCTGAATTTGAGCCAAAATCCTACCTACACATTCAGGATTTTTATCTACCAAAAATGGAACAGTAACTATGAGGCCTTCCACACAGCCCTATATCCCAGAATATCAAGACAGAAAACCCCACAATATCTGCTTTGAACTGGGTTACCTGAGTCCACACTGCCATATATTTATAACATGAAAAGCATGTTCCATACACTCTTTATCAATGATGCAAAATTATATTGTGTTTCTTTTGAGTGCTGTGGGAAGCTTCCTTAAGTCTCACACTGAGGGGCAATGGGATATCAGTTAATAAATAATAGAAATAGTGTGAGAGGATTATTCAGGAGGATTGTCCTCTGCTCTTTAATCTGCTACCCTACAATTGCTCCAAATGTTGCTTAAATAAGAGCCAATGCAGTGGTGTGCTAGGAAATGGTGGATAAGGACTGAGGAGACTAGGATTTAAATCCATCTCCAACCATAATGCTTTGTGTGTCACCTTGAGCCATGAACTGTCATCTTGGCCTATGCTATGGAATTTTGAAGCAGCTTTTAAAGCAAAGTAGAGGGTTTCTTGGGTGAAGCACAAGATGGAAATATAATAAATGTGTACTGCAAAATTGGTGTTCACACAGAAATCTAAAAATAGACATCCAGCAAAAGATGTTTTATTAATGTATGTGCCCCATATCTTTCACAAGAAATCACAAGCAAAGGACAAGGGAAACAGAAATGAACTATTTTTCTCCCTGTGATGGGAGAAGATGATGAGATCAGTGTGAGATACCAATTCCCAGACATGAAATTATTTAAATCAGAGTGAAAAATGCTGATTTTTTTCAAAGTATGTTGAAAGCAGTCATTCTAGTTTGAGAGCTGTGTGGTATAAAAGGGGGGGGGGGGGAATCCCCAGATTCAAAAACTGATTTCATGATGGCCCATCATTGCATTACTTCAGCATAAAAATCCACTGACAGAGTTAAGTTATGCAGTTTTTATACTAAATGAATACCAGTGTAGCACACCTTAAGTAGCTCAAGGTGCATTGTGAAGGGTGAAAATCCAATGTGAAATTGTCATGCACAAGACAGGCAATGCACAGAACATTGTGCATCAATGTGTTATGGTGTGTACTTTAATGTACAGCTCCATGCATAATAGTTCTTTTTAACCAGGGGTTCTCAAACTTTTTCAGCCATGGAGCCCTTTTTGAAGCAAAGGTTTCTTGTGGAGCCCCCAGAAATGTTTATATATTATATTATATATTATGTGTGTATGTATATATATGCACACACACACATGTATACATATAATGTGTGTATGTACACATATATATATACATACACACACACACATATATATCTCAAACATGGGCTGGGCCAGTGGCAAATAGATGGAAAATGTTTGTGTGAACTAAAAAAAAAAAACTAAATACAATATTAAAAATTAAGAACTATTTTAACCAACATAAACTTAACAGTATTTCAGTGGAAGACCTCCAGGGCCATTCGCCTTCTGCCCTGCATGAAAAACACAACCAGAACACCCCCAATAGGTGGCCATCCAGCCTTTGTAGTAGTAGTAGTAGTAGTAGTAGTAGTAGTAGTGGTAGTAGTAGTAGTAGTAATAATAATAATAATAATAATAATAATAATAATAATAATAATAGCAGAAATCCCAGAGGAGGCAGGGTGCCCGCAAAGCCCCTGAGCACCTTTCATGGAGTCCGAAGGGCTCCCCAGAGCACAGATTGAGAACTGTTGCATTAAACCATAGACTGTGGGGGGGGGGGGGGTAGAAATGTAGCAACACCTTTAGGATATGCTGATTTTTATTATAGCATGAACAATTATGGATATTAACCCACCTTTTCAGATTGATATTGAACCATCTGGTTATAAAGTGTATTTATGCAGTTGTGGCAGTTGGACAGAATGTATTAGGATACAGAAACACGCAAATCATG